GGTACACCATAAATAGTAATTGTGAATGCTTGAAAACAGAATGTCTAATAAATTAAAGAAGTGGAATTTAAATGTATTTTTTAAAAGACCTAGAGGAATTGTAACATTAAAGAAGAAAACTATTATTTTAGAACTGAAAACACATAAATGTAAATGTTTTGCCATATTTTCCCAGGGAGAATTTAAATTTTTAAACACTCTATTAAACTTATCAGATTAATTTATAACCAGTGGATGTCAAAAATTAGTAGAGTTATACATAACTTTTTATGGTATGGCTATTCTCTCTTTTTTCCAGGACAAAAATAAATATTTTTCTCTCCCCCGTGACCCCCACAATGTTTACTTTCTATTATATCAATTCTTCTGATGGAGTATTTATCATGACCTTACTTCCATATATTTACCTGCTTTAATAATCCTAAATTATTTGACTGTACTTGATATAATCAACTTAAAGGCCTTACAACAAAACTGAGAACTGTTGTGTCCTTGAAGAAGAATTTCTACCTATGATCATTTCCTGCCCAAGTGTTTCCAAGCTGTCCTCTTGATGGCTTGTCATATAGATTCCAGCCAGCCCACACAATAGTGTAGCCTACTCCTTGGAGTAAATATGTTTGTGCTATTTGTGAAGATTCCTATCAGTTCTGGTGCTGATTGATGAAGTACTTTACCATCATGTGTACTTTAAACCCCTGCCTAACTCTTGTTACATTCAACTTGTGCTTAGATATCACTGACTGCACTTACTCTCGTTTGTCTATAAAAACTTTACAGAGAAATTAAAATTATTGCTAATTCCAGGTGAATAAGCACAGACAGAAAGGTTAAGTAATTTGCTCCCAAACACACAGCTAAGAAGCACTGGAGTCAAGACAAAAACTTAAGACAATACAACTCTAGTGTCTATATTGTTTTCTGTTGTGCTAGGTTGTTATTTCATATAGACATGAACTTGGTTCCCAAGAGGCATGTATTGTAATGAGTTAAGAAGAAGGGAAGGAAGAGGGCAGAGGGAAGAACAAGAGAAGGAATTTAGAAGAAAAAAAAAAAAAGTTCTTCAAATAGTATTAACACTACTTGATACAAAGTGATAACCATTATCATCAGGAAACTATAACAAAATGGACAAAACCAACCTACTCTTCCCTATTTTACAGTCCCAGACTTAAATATTTCTGTGCTCTGTGCCTTTTATCTTGAATGGCTATTTTAAGTTGTTCTGCACCTATGAGGTAGTACAAGTAACTTTTTATGCAGGCAAACTGATCTCCACTGTCATATCAACTCATGGAGTTAAAGATAGTTCTAAATATAATATAACCTTTCTATACTATAAGCTAGTTTTTAACAAACTATGATTCAATCAAATATAATAATTAATCATTTGAAGGAAACACAATTTTACTATGATTGACAATATTAAAAATAGTATACACCTTAAAGTAATGGAGGCTCCAGATTAAAATTTTTCTACATAGATTTTTATTCATTTAACTAAACTTTTCATAATAAACCATGGCAATCAATTCTCAAGTTAGCCTTCACAGAAACTCAAAAGAATTGTAGTGACTGTTCATATATGTAAGTTTTACACAGAAAACAGTTTGGAGCATTTTCTTTGTGGTCAGTGAAAAAACATAGTTGTCTCTACAAATCTAACTGCTGAACAATAGGTCTCTAAGAATTTCTCCATTGCTTTTTAAATGCTTCTTTCTGCTGATTTAGATTTAGAACAGCTCACTGGAGGTTTCCTATTAAACACCACTGGCTTTCTGTTCAATCAATACTTCAAAATAATTTTACTGAAATAATTTTTATATCTAATCTTATTACATCTTAGTGAATACGGATAAATGGATAAATCCTTAAGTTCTCCTATAAAAATAAGTTAATCATTTTCTATTCTTCTCCATACAGTCTCCAAAGGTGATTTGCTTAAGTCTGACCAGATCTTAACATCCTCAAAACCGATTCTTTAATTCACTCCATCTCTTTCAAATTTAAAGTCAGGTTTCCCTGAAAGCTATTTCTGGTTTGTTGCTCACTAACTGAAAGATACACCTGTCTTTAAAGATCCTTCTGTACATTAATTTCTTTCATTTGTCCAGTTTTCCAACAAGAATAACCAGTAATTTCTGTCTCTATTAAAATTCATAAAGACTTGAACAAAAGATTCAAAAAAGCTTTTTCCTGTTTTTTTTGTAATAGCTTAAATTTTGCTTGTTTCTTTTTTTTTAGATGATAATTACATTCATTAAATTGAGGATCATTTCTCTCATTTCCATGTTACTTTTTATATTTGTCTGTATAATACAATATCATACAGCTTAGGAAAGCTAATTTGTTGGTTGTTTTCATTCTTACAGTCTGTGATACCTGAACATAATTTTAACAATAGCCAAATCACTTGAAGAAAATTTATGCATGACTTTAATAGAAATTATAAGGAATATTCTTTTACTTTAAAATTAATCATATATTTGGAGTGAAAAATAATTTTCCATACTATAAATATATTTGTACAAGGTTTTTTATCAGCATCATCTACCAGAAATACCAATGCATAAGCCATCTTTCTAAAATCAATCATGAATTAGTAGTAATACTATGACAAAATAAAATTCAGTAATATGCATGAACTATTTTACCTTTGCATTATAGGGGATGTAATGTTTTAATAAAGCTTCAGGTGTATGCATCCATGTTTTGTCTGCAATGAAGAATACACAGAATTAAATCAAATCACAAATACTAAAGCTACTATATTCATGAATTAGCATTTGTAAAGAATCTGATATGGGTAGACATATTTTTATTTCTGAGGTTTTTTCCTAACTTGAGAAAAAATAACTAAAATAACTAGTCAGGGATAAGAACAATATAAATGTAAAGTAATAAGAGGATTCCTGCCTTAGTGTAAAAGTCTCTACCTAGAGTTTCTTTTAAAAGTTTTCAAATAATACAAATGGCATTTAATTTTAAAGAAAGGGACATGATAAAGCATCTTAGGTGCTCTGGTGTCTGTCGATGTGGTGATACACCTCAGATACAAGTGGAATTGTTAATCTGAATCATGCACAGTGATATAAACCAATATTACCTCAAGTTAATAATTTTAAAAAATAAGTGGATTATGAGAAGTTATGTTAATTATGTAAACATATCATCTTTCACCTTTCATATTATATGTTCACGCATTACAGGTTATTTTTGCTAGTTCCCTGATCAAAAGAGCAATCTGTTCTTTAGTAATAATGATTGTTACTATTTTTAGCACTAATGAATAGCTATTTAATAAAGAACAATTTTAACATTAAACTTAAAATTGTACTTATATAAAGCCAAAATTAAACAATCCACTAGGTTCATTTAGAAATCAATATAATAGTAGGATAATTTTCTAATCTAAATTTAGATAAATATTAATTAATAGGAGTCTGGGATATAAATAAGCTTAAATGTAGTAATTTGAAATGGTGCTTATATATGTTTAATAGAATATGGTAAATAAAACTGAAAGAATAGAAAATATTGAAACTAATCTGTATTACATCATATTGCTAGGAAATATATTTTTATTTCAATTTTTTAGATACATATCTCTCTTATGTCTTTTAAAATATTTGTGGAATAAAAACAAAAAAATAAACAGGAATAAAAACAAACAAAAAGGTTCATGTGTGCACAAATCAAATTTGGTTCCTTTTGAAATTATATTTGTGTAATTTGTAGTAAAAGTTCTCAAATTTGTAGTAAAAGTTCTCAAATTTGTAGTAAAAGTTCTCAATCTTCAAATACTCCTTCAAAAACAGGAGTTATATATTCTTTAGTGGAATTCATGATTATTCTATTCTTTGTAGGAATTCTAAAATTTGGAATCACTATTATAAGCAGAAAAGGATAACAGATGTATCTTATCATAAACAATATTGAATATAGATGGAAAGAAAATGCCAGATGACTAATAACATATTTTCAACATTCATATCAGAATATTTGAAAATAGTGCTCACATAAGCTAGTTGAATAACATTAATATGTTTTTCTCAAACTGCAGAATGTGAAGACAGAGAAAACGGCATATATTTCTGCGATGTCAATTACTTTATACCATTTAAAGGATAATTCACTGTATTAAATATGTTTATGAGTTATAATGCAATGATCACAAAAATTTCTAAGACAAAGCACGAGGAATTTTGGCACTAGTTTTGACTACTGAAGTGACTACATGATAGCTATACTTAAATGAAATATTTTGAGAAATATTTATATTCAACAAAGTAATATTGACATATAGAAATTCATACTCATGTGCAAAACTTTTCTTTAATGGATTTTTCCTTATGGCTCCTACTGGATAGTAGTATGACTAATTTAAGAATAACTTTTACTAAGATTTGGGATTTAATCATGCCTTATATATTGAAAGAACCAAATCACAGCACTGTGTACCAAAACAAACAAACCTGCCTTTAGGAAACCTAAAAAGAAATTCAATTTCATTTTTTTACCCCTAACTCAAATTTTCTCACATCTCTTTTGCCAAGACATACAGCAATGCTGAGGAGGAAGTAATATCTGACTAAAGTCTGACATGAAGGTTCATTCCAACCCCAAGGCAGAGTGATAACTGTTTTTTTGTGCAGATCCTCACTATGTGAAGCACATGCTACTTACTATCTGTGTTAGAGCCTCAGAGTCAGTGAATTACAGAGACTAGGTAAAGCCAGTTGTTACTGGTGACGGACTCAAATAACCACCATATTAAATTATCCTTGTATAAGCTGCAGTTGCTACAATGACAAAAAAATTCTACACCTACATATTACCTAATGATGATTCAGTGGTTGTTCATTACCTGCTCCGGTAAGGGCAGTACACTTATAAAGCCAGAGGATTTCTAAAACAAACTCTTACTAGGATCCTAATTTATAATCTGGCAAAAAAAAAAATGAAATTTGACAGAATAAAACTCTATTGTATTAACTCATAAAGATGTGGTTGACCTTAAAGCACCAGTGCAGTGTGGTTACTGTATGTACCCATGAAATTAGAAATTAGAAATATGAATCTGATGTAGAAACAGGGACATAGTAATTCTACAATGGATCCCCCTTCTTAAAATGAAACTATAATCATTAACTCAATAGTCAACATTTACATGCAAGAAAATATCAACATTTTAAAATAATTAACAAGTGTCAAATCTCTCTGACTGTTGAGTCAGTAAATCAAGGTGTTCAAGATGCAGTTAGACTAAAAAGCTCATCAAGAAAGAATTAAATAAATAACTAAATAAACAAATAAATAAATATGATTTAAAAAATACAGTAGCTTTATTATTTTGAATCTCAGAACTTAACATATGAAAGCATCCAGTTGATTTAAAATTAAATGTTCTTGCATTTATGAAGACCAATGAATGTGTCATAAAAAAGAAAACAATATTTAAATATTGATTTTTTAAATGCTACATACCATGATTATAGCTACTAATTAGTATGTCCACTGATAAAATAAAATGTAATTAGTTGGATTTAGTCACATATGTTCACATGCTATGTGTGATAACTGTACTAAATTATTCACTTTTGTTGTAATAAATAGTATAGTGTTTTAAAAATTCAAAGACAAAGGTAATATAGGGAAATGCTATAGACAAGATATAGTCATCAAATTTTAATCTATGTTCATGAAGAAGACTAATCTTAGAGGGTTCTTCAAACAGTCCAAATTGATGCACCACACTTATCTTCAATCTAATTTGGACTGTGTGAGTAACACCATTAGAGTATTGTGAAGAAAATCAGTGAAGTCACTGGCTAATTCAATTTAAGAAAATTCCTGAGAAATTACTAATTGGGATAGTTAACAGAAAAAGAAATCATTTGTGGTAAGATAACAATTATTTTTCCTTATATTTCTGAGGCAAAGTTAGTAAGGTTGTAGGTGATTACCAAATAATTGTATATCTATGAGGAGATAAGTTTGTACTGATAGAAAAATATCTTGTCTAGAGTACAGTGTACAAAATGTGTTGATGTCAGTTATTGGAAACATGACTGAATTATATATTCCCTAGGAGTATAGTTACAGTTAGTGAAGTCAGGATATATGTTTTCACTCATAAAGTTTAAGTTTTCCAACTTAAATTAGTGGCTCAAAGGTGATTTTCTTTAGCAACCTCACTAACTGAAATTCAAAATTGATTGGGAAAAGTAAGTTCTAACTTGTAATTAGATAAATTTTAATAAAAAATTCCTGGTAAGCATAGAATCATTAGGCTTGAGGAAAAAGAGTTGGGAAGGGAGAAAAGTCAAAAGAAAATGAAGCAAAAATAGTGATTTTACTTTCTTGATTCTCTCAATAACTATATTTTTCCAAAAAGGTTGTTTGACCACTTTCCTCAAAGACACAAATATATAATTGCTAGTTACTCCAGTTACCATTCAACTTTTGGGATTTCTTCATGAAAACACCAAATTATCTTCAAATAAAGAGTAAGCTAGAAAGATGGGGTTAAACTTTAAAATCTTGTGAAAGGAAATTGTTAGTAAATTAGGAGAAGAACTGAAAGTGTTTAAAAAAAAAATAAGATGGTGGCCCTCCCTGGTGGCGCAGCGGGTTAAAGCTCAGCACTGAGAATCTAAAGCCGCTTCCTCATGAGTTTGATTCCCGCCTGTCCCGGAGGTGACCACATGGCGTGGCAGACCTCTCCTGACCCGCCCGCTGCTCCCCTCAGCAGTGTACTTCGTTGATCTGCCTGTTCTGTTCGCCGCTCTGTCTCTGCCTCTCACCGCCCCTGAGCCTCTGGCCTGTACCCCAGTTCTGTATGCACAAATAAAATAAAATCTTAAAAAAAAAAAAATAAAAAAAAATAAGATGGTATGATTAATGTGATGAGTTGAAAATTTTTTTTATATTAATGAAATACTTCAAGTATTGAAGAATAGTTTTTAGATTTTTTTCACTAGTAAATAAAATAAAAAAGAAACATACTTTTGTAATATGTTTTAAATTGGGACTGAGTCACAGATTATACCAAGTGACATTTTCTCTTCCCTTGACTCATTAAAATAAAGTGTAAAATAACAAATTCTTTGCTTCCAGAGTTGAAAATGTCTGAAATGTCATATGACTTAACTCCTATTGAATATATTAAATCCTCTGTACTACATCCAAATGTTTGAACACTTCTCACTGTAGTAACAAAGTTAGTACTTTTAGTATTTCCAATATATTTTTTGGAAGACTTTCTTGGATTTTTTTCCCCCTACATTTAGTCAGTGGCATAATGATTTACATCTATTTTCTTTTATTAAATTTAGTGCAATGATCAAATGACAGCACTTTAAACATGGAAGATGACACAAAGGATTCTCAACTATACTTCCTGTTGAAAGGTTCAAAGTCCTTAAATCATCCCAGCTTTCTGATCTAGATATGTAATCCTGTGCCAATTAATACTTTAAAGGGAGAAAAAACTGTGCCTGAGTCACATGGAATAGGACAGCATAAGTATCTTTTCTGGTTCTGAATTGTTCATAATTCACACATAAGAAAATGAACCTAAATCTTTGCTATCATGCTGTGGATTCAGTCATTTATTTTTTTATCCACGTAGCACGTAAGTGCACCCTCCCAAATAATAGCAATATATAAGAATAAAATTGTTATATTTTCTGGACTCTAACTTGGCAATTTACACTATCTTGTTAAATTTACAGTGTACAGTATGACCTAATTGACCATTTTCTCTCCACATAGCAGTAATCCTCATGTGATTAATATGAAGTATCTCCTCCCAATTCATTGATAACATGTTAAATAGGAGAGAATCCTATGACACCATCAGTAAGTTCCTTCTTTTTCCTCTTTCCAATGAGTATGCCATGAAATATGTTGTCAAATGCCATGTTTTCATGCGCCTTAAAAACATGACATGCAATTAGCTTTCCTTCCATTCCTATACTGATAAATATATTACACTTATATTTATTTTAACTTTCAAATTTAAAGCTAGCAGTAAACTTATTTTGGCCAAAATACTATCAATTCACCTGCTACTGATGCTAACATATTATTCAGTATGTCAAAAGTGAATTGAAAGCACACACACCTGTATGAGCAAGTTTAAATCAATATAATCTTACAAAGCTTGTGGAATTTAGTATCATATGCTATTTAAGGTGAAATTAGGAGTGGTTTCAGACCACTTGATGTTTTTGCAATTTCACACCACAGAATAAACCTGCCAGAGAATGACTATATTAAACAATTACGTTCTTTCATTAGGGTGATAAGCAAAGAAGGTTAATTAACAATGAACTCTATTTTAACTTCAGTCCTGAGTCACATGGCTGAAAAAGTGATATTTTTAACATCTCTGCTTAAGTTTCTTAGTAAGCCTGAATTGACTACCAGATCATTTCACTGGACACACTCACCTTTCTTCCTGTTAAATGCCCGGTTCATGATGAGGAGCCGTCTGGATGTGCGGTCCAATCAGTGTATGGCCTATATAAACAATAAAGTATTAAAGCATAAATTCAGACCTATTGATTAATCTATTAGATGCAATTATATGTTAGTCACAGTCTCTTTAATATTTTTAATATTTACAAAAATATTCTGAAATGTCCCAAAAGTGTAACAATATACAATATTGTGAGTTGCACAAAAGATAAGACCAATATCTCAAATGATGTTCCTCAAAAGTTCCTTAATTTTCTTGCCTTCTATATTTTGCATTAATTATATTTACCTACAAGTGTAAACAGAAGGGAGAATAATACTTTTCCCTGATCTCACTGGTAGCAGGTGTTGTAAAGCTTTGGGTTATCATTAATAAAGGTATTGGATAAATGGAAGCATTCAGAAGAAATTTGAAAGTGTCTTCTTATCTAATGACAGTTGCCCACTTTACAAAACTGCTACCTAAGCTCTTATTTAAAAAAAGTTAAATGGCATTGTTATGACTAAAGAAGCTATAGGATGTGAATATTGAAGCCTGTAAAACAGTGGGCTCTGAATTTTATTTTTATCTTATGACTTCATTTAAAATCAAATTTTCCTAGAATTCTTTCAAGGTTAAAAGAATGAAGCCCTTAAAAATTGATTCAAACATAGTTCAGATTATATTGTCATAAATCACTTTAAAATCCTGTTACTCACCATGAGATCAGAGGTGATGCTAAACTAACGAAGTCCAATCACTAGATTAAATTCTATATGGGAAGGTAAACTAAGCGAAATAAGTTGCTTTCCCCATGAATGCTTGTTTTTTTTTTTAACTCTTAAACCTTGCATATGCTTTTTTTTTGCAGATGTAATTCAGCAAGGTAATCATGAGAAAATGTCAGTTTTTGATCCTGCATTAGCTCATCCAGGTTGTTAACTGCTCTAAAGTAGTGGCTCGATATTGGTACGCCATTGCTTGCAACGCTTAACAATGACTCCGAAATCCTATGGGAAAACTGAGGTCTTTTTTCAACACTCTTCTTGTTCTTATTAGTGTATATTATAAAGGTTCTCTGTTAAATCTCCCAATTGTCTGTACAGTTTATATTGATTTAATTTACATCTGCAATTTGCAGATGTTTTTGCTTTATTAGATCAATGTGAAGTATAACCAAGAAAACTAGCTAGTACACAAAACATGAAATTTTGCATTAGTAGGAGGGGAAGTCAAATGATGTATGTCAAAAGGCATTTATAATTTGCTAGGAAATAGCAACTTCAGTATTTTTGGAAATTCCTTGACAAAGTACATCTATGGTCACCATTACTGTCTCTTTATAGCAATATTGTCCTCTACTTGCAATATTCATTAATAGATACAGGTATATTTTCAGATGACATTCTGTGACAAAAATAACAGTGGAAAAATAAAAGTATGATATGGTCCTTGATCTTAAGGAACTTACTGTCTTTCAAAGTTAGGAAAGAATGGTATGGAGTGTTGTGGATAGACAAGACTTATAAAGGCAACAGGCACTAATGAGAGAAATGTCTGTTTCATGCAAAGGGGAAGCTTCAGAGAGTCATTTCCCAAGTGGACAAAGGCTAAAGGAGAGAATATTTCATGCAGAAGGGCAGAGCATATGTTGATGATGGCCAGGCGCTTCCTGTAGACCACTAGCAACCTCATTGAGGGATCATCCATAACCCTTTACTGAGGATCCAACCTAGGTTATTGTGCAACACATCGACAGGGTGACAGGGTCAGCAAGGTAGCACTTTGGGCACTTGATAGTGGGGGGGGGGGTGTCAACTCTTGAAAATAGCTTACAAATGAGAAAACCTTAGTACATAAGATCCAGTAACAGTAGGTCTCTAAAGCAAAATAAAGAATGTCTCAATTGCCTCCAATATCAACAATGAGACTCAAAAAAATACAATGAATCAAAAAGAAAAATGGGCATTCTTTATGAAAATGGAAGCTATGAAATTTAAATAAGTTTATTCTCACAATAACTTAGCTATAAGAGGATTTGGATAAGGGGTACAGGCCAGAGGCAGAGGTGCCGTGAGAAGATTCACCAAAGACAGAGTGGGGAGCAGAACAGGCAGATGGATGAAGTACACTGCTGAGGGGAGAAGTAGGCAGTCACGAGAGGTCTGCCACATGCCCTGTGGATCACCTCCTGGGCAGGGACTGAACTCATGCTAAAGTGGCTTTAGCTTCTTAGTGCTGTGCTTTAACCTGCTGCGCTACCAGGGAGGGCCCAGATTTAAGTTTTTAATAAAAGTCTAGTCAACATCTCCACTTTTCAAATCATAGTAATCTTTTATCTTTTTTATTTTGATTGTATACATATATGTAACAGTGTAATCTCCCTAAAGGGGGGACATTCCATGTACTGGGCTCAACCTTAGGGAGGCTGGAGCTGAGCAGCACGGCCACACTCAGAGAAACCAGGGAGACGCCAGGAGAAGACACATGGAGCACAGCAGCTTGTGAAGGCCCCGTTGCTTTTTAGCTTTGGAATTGCACCAGGGAGATGGGGACATGGGAGAAGATATGTGAAATTAAGAAATGCAAACCCTTGGAAGAGATGATTTGTACTTTGATTTTGCTCCTTTCAGCTCAGACTTAAATGAGCCCTTCTGTCCCTTTCTTATGGTTCCTTACCAGAAGGTGCCTTACGTTAACTATATTTTTTTCTCTTCTCTTTATTGTACACTAATTGTATTAAGCTCTTTTTAGTGAAGGTCTTATGCCCTGCATGAAGAGTACATTTTATCTTTATATGGCAGATGTCAGAATAAATATAGAGCATGAAGGTTTGGGGGTCCAGGTGCCCCTTATTCTGTCCACTAATACTTGGGCACCATTTGGGTATATATTCAAATATGTCCTCTCCAAATTGTAAATCTTTGATCACAAATAAATGTTTTAATGTTTTTCCTTTAAATTTTTAGGTTGACAGTTTTTTACACACACACACACACACACACACACATATACATATATGACTTATTTATTTATGTTTATGGAACTGGGGAACAGGCCGAAGGTGTAGTGAGAAGATTCACCAGAGACAGAGTGGGGAACAGAACAGGCAGATCTACTGTAATACACTGCTGAGGGCACCAGCGAGTAGGTCAGGCAAGGTCTGCCTGCAATGTGGGTCACCTCCGTAGCTGGGGATCAAACCGGTGCTGCAGTGGCTATGGAGAGCTTCATAATGCTTTAACCCATTACACGACCAGGGAGAGGCCAGGTTGACACAGTTTTTATCCTGACATTAAATTCTAATAATCATTAACTATAAAAGTACCTCTTCATTTGCTATACAGAACATCTCAGTGTCAGTGGGTTTCATTGGGAAAGAATAGGTGGATAGAAATTCTGATCCTTGAAAATGGGACTCTCAAATATTTTCACTGAGAAATCACACTTTCCTTACTGTTCAAGGCACTGCTGAATATTACTACTTCATTTGCCACACACAATACAGCATGGCCACAGTTAATAGCATTCTGCTTCTGCCATTACAATCAAAACTTTCTATTTTTAACTTTAACGGGACTATGGTAATCTTAAATCTATTGGCTTTCTTCCTGTGGGCTTGCTAATAGTTCTTCACTGTAGCCGCCAACCATTTCTCCTCAGAAATCTCTTAATCTGTATCACCATCCTTACAATGTTGAACTTTTCCCTAGCCCTATGATCCTGGAAAATAACAAAAGTTAAGGAAATGCCCCACCCCTTTGTGCTCTGGGAATGGCTTATTTAAGAACCACCCTTCCCCTCCCACCTCCCATAAGCCTTAGATAAGATTCGGGGCACTCCCTTTGTTTATCCAGGATAGCACCAGACAAAGACCTTCAAATTCCCATTCTTGTCTGAAGAATGATTAGCTGAATTGTATGTGTCATAACCAAACTGGACAAGAGACTTGCCACTTTGACTTGATCAAACTTAACTGAGTTTCCATGCTTTTACCAGTTTCCTGAACTTTGAACCACCCACAGTGTAGCAACACCAAGTGCAGAGGTGGCCTCTATTAATAGGTTGACCTTGTTAAAAACCTCATGTCCATTGTCCTCAATCATACTTCTCACCTTTCCACATCCAATTCCTTCTAACCTTGTTTACTTACTCTTCCTTATAAAACTTTTTCTTCTTATTTAGTGGATGTCATGGCATATTGTAATAGGGTGGTCCCCAGGAAAAGGGGAAGTTTCAGGTTTTCTGCTCCACCCACATGGAGGGTGGAGCTGAGCAGAGAAAAGAAGGAATCTAAAGAAGGAAGCAGGATGGAGAGCCAGAAGGAGAACTGCGGAAGCCACAAGGAGCAGGGAGCATGTGATGAAGAAGCCATGCTTGTTTCTTGGCCCTGTGCTGGTTAAAACAAATGTAGGTGAAAGACCCGTGGGGAAGTTGACTATGGCAGCCTTTATCTTAATTTTGATTTTGCTCTTTTCCTACTAGACTAGCCTGGCCATATCTGACCTTTTTCTATGGGACCCTACCAGAAGGTGCTTTAGACTCACGGTGGGCTTTCAGGCCTTGCTTCAGACCAATCTCTTGTGGGTAGACTTTTACCCATGAGGGGATGGGTAACTTCAGGTGTTTGATTTAGCAATTTTATCCTTAGTCTTTTGTTTTGTATACTCATTGTATTAAAGTTCCTTTCCATTAAAGCTCTTATGTTTTATCTTGATGAGGCAGATGGCAGAACCTACTTAGAGCAGGCAGGTTTGGGGGTTCAAGAGTGCCCCTCTCTCCCTGCCCTGTAACAGCATGACATGTAATCTTCCCCCTCCCTCCTCCATACACCTCCCCTATACCCCCTCCCATTATTGCAGCAATCTTTTCAAATAAGGTCATTCCTTCCCTAAGTCTGGATTTGTTTTTGATTAAACACTTCATTTAATCATATTTAAAAAGAATTCCTGGAAACTAACCCCAAACTACTTCACTGAAATCACTTGCAAACTTCCCTTTCAAGGCATCTACTCAACTGGAGTGAGTCCTCTCATTCTCTTGCACTAATGACTATTTCATT